GTAAAGTTTAAGAATTAAAATTAAAAACGACGTTACATGAAAAGTTACAAAAATAAAATGGTTGAGAAATTGTAAGAGGTAACCACTTTTTATGAGTTCGCGAAAACCAGAAATAAAATGTATAAATGCGCATGTGTTGAAAATAAAATAAAATTACATAGAGGGTGTTCAGATGAAACAAATCCCTTCTGCGAGTATAATTGTCTGCGAGGCAACAACTCTAAAATCTGTTTTTTAAAAATGTATGTAATGTATATAATTTGTATTTTGTAGTTAATATTTCCAGGCGTTGAATAGTAAGGTAAGGGAAGGGGATAATAAAATTTGGATTTTTAAATTAATAGAAAAATATAGGATAGGGAATACAAGGATAGGGTGTAGACAGGAGTTGGGTGTTGCCGCAGGGACCCCAAAATCTGCGAACAGTGTGTGCGGCTAAGTACACTGATCCTCGGTATTTTGGGGAAATGGGTTATTGAGGCATTTGTATAAGGGTGGTTTTAAGGGAAGGACCTGGTCATTAAGGCACTCAAGTCTTGTATTAGTTTTTATGAATTTGTCTATTTCATAGCTCTCTAAAAGCTCAAGTGTGTGGCCTTTATTTTGTTTATGTATCAGTGTTACATTTTTTTTAATATCAAAAGTGTGGTTGTGCAGAGATAGGTGTTTACCAAAATTAGAGTTGGGTTTTATTAAATGCTCTCTAATTCTTGTTTTTAGGGCTCTCCCTGTTTCGCCAATATATGTGGCTCCGCAAGTATTACATTCTAAACTATAAACACCGTTAAGTTCCAACAAGTCTAGCTTATCTTTTATTAGGATTAGCAAAAATTTCGTCGTTGGTAGTAAATTTAAGTAAGTCCTCCAATCCAGTAGCATCCAAATGGTGTAACAGATAGTCATTTACACGATCAAGCTGTTTTTCATTTAAGTTACGGCCTCTATAAACAGGATGCAAATAATTTGCAATTAAAAGTGGATCTTTCAAAGCATAATTTTTCCGTTTTTCTAAATGCGCTTCTGCATCCACAAATTCTGAAGGAAATTTTAGAGTAAGCCATGCTTCAGCTGCACATGCGATACTTGATGTAGATGCCTGACACTTATTAATTAGCTCACAGATGGGATCTAGTAGTGAAATAACTTTTGTTACATTGTTGATAAATTCTTGATCAAAAATCATTGCAGTTATATGGGCAGGTATACATTTTTCAGGATGTTCGGATATTACACGTTTTATGTAAGGAAGATTCTTTAAAAAACAAGTAAATGAGTCTCTATTCGAACACCATCTTGTTTCGCAGGGTAGAATAATTCTTGAACCTCCATATTTTAAAATCTTTGTTTCAAGATCAGGGCCATTAAATTGCTTTAATATAGCTGTTACTTATGCAGCTAACGTACTAGGCAGAACATCTTTTGCTAATAACTGACCAGTATGTGAATTACAGGTAAGGTGTATTAACCTTCCCATTTTCATCATGTTAGCTGCATTATCACTAATTACTGCGAATATTTTAGTATTATAATCTTTTTCTGCTTGCATCTTTGCCAACTCAATGATCTCCAATAATTTTTCTCCCGTTTCCCTTTCCTCACTTCAAATCCCAATTATCTAGGAAAACAGCATTTCCAGATGCGGAGTGCAGTAGAACTGACATATTTTTTGTATTTGCATTTTCGTTCTTCCAACCATCAATTAACATTACTGATTCAAGTTGAAACTTAATATTTTCTGTAAATTTATTGTAAATATCGTCCAGTATCTTACCGGATAAGGCTTTCCTAGAAGGAATTGGATAGCTTGGTCGTAGCCGTTGCATAAAAGCACGGAAATGTGTAGAGTCGATAATATTGCAACCAAAGAAAAAAGTACCCAAGAGGAAATTTGTTTTTGTGATTTCTTCGGGTGACATTTGGTCCATGAACGAACTCAATGATGACGAAGTAGATGGTCTAGAGAAAGAAGAACTAGACTTTCGATTTTAGAAAGATTGTGTTTGTTTTTAAAAATAAGAATTTTATTATTCACTTAAAACAATTGGTTACAAAGTTTGTTGTTTAATTGATTAATTATAAATTTGAAAGATTATAATAACTAAGACGTGCGATGTGGAGCGCGACCGGTTACTATATTCTTCTTGATAAACGGTTCGCTCCTTTTATATCGTCGGTATACAAGAGAAAGTGACTAAGTCCACAGATAGTGGTTTTGAGTTATTAGTATTCTAATTTTTGCTTCTTATTATAAAATCAATTATTTTACGTGAGATTAGTTTATAATGATTTTTATAAATAATATAGTTTTTAGAATATGTATTTTAAATTAAAAAAAGTCTATAATTAATTTAAGCAAATACTAAACCAGTAATTCATTTCAACTGCATAGGTTTGTAATGGTTTCTATGAACAATGCAGATTCTAAAATATGTATTTAAACTTAAAAAAGACTATAATTAAACAAGTAGTAGTAACTAGTTTCAACTTCATATGTCTTCATCACTATATTCATTGTGTGAGGGTTCTGGACACTTGTCTTTCAAGGAATTGTCACTCGGTATGTCAAAGTACCAACTATGGTATTCGATCGGAATTACCCCCTTACGGCAAAGTTGAATTAAATCGTTTTTCAGTTTCTTTTGGAATATTATTACTGGGCTCACCTTTTGCTTTGCCTTTAATGTTAAACATTTTATACTCTTCATCATAGTTGTATCGGAACATTATAAACTTTTTTTTCTCTTTTTCGTACCTTAATTGTTTGATCTTTAACCATTCTATTTTTTCTCCCCCTTCATCCCGAATTGTATTTTGTAGTATAGATGTATTGAGTGCTTTCAAGTCAATAATGTCACGGTAAGTCATTTGCTCTACAATGTAGGCACCAGAAGTTTTATTTTTGCCTCTCTCGGATCTTGCTAGTGTCATAATTGTCTTCCAATCATTAAGACAAAATACAGGAATGTATTTTTTTGCACTTTCAATTGCACTATGCATCGAATCGGCCTCCATGTGCGAGTGACCTTTTTCTAAAAAGTTGTGAGTAATAATCTCTATAGGTAACTGGTTGACTACAAACAACAAAAGAGCCGCAATGTATTTATTTCGGTTTTGGCCGCCACATGTGTCGCTAAAGAGTGGCACTTCTTTGACAGTATCAGGTAAAGTTTTAAACCACTTCAATAAAGCTGTACCTATTTCACAACTTCCTCGTTGGCCATCAACTTCGGACCAAAGGTAACAATATCCCTTATTTGGTGGAGTTGCTTCATAAATTGCTAAATTGTATGCACATAGCTTTCGACTGTAGTAAAGAGGTGATACATCGGAGCATGGAATTTGCAGGACACTCTGTAAGTCAAAACTTACTGATACAAAAGGTTTGTCATGAATTGCTCTTTGTTTATCTAAATCTTTTGCTCTATTAGCATCATCCCTTCGCTTTATGTGAGAAATTCTTCTGATTTTTCAATAGATTTAGCTTCTTTAACACACAGCAAACATTGATCTTTCTTTGGTTTGAAGAAAGATAAGTTATATTGCGTACAAAACACCCTCCTATATGTTATTGGAGAAACAAAATCCTTTTGATTCCTGATCTGTACATCTTTGTACAATTCATACATTTTAAGAATGGATAAGGTAGAGTCAAGATACTTCCGTGTAGTTCCACGTCTACAATAGTGTGATTCCATCACAGGAAATGATTCTATATGTCTCTTCACCTCATTCAAAATGACAGGTTTAGTCTTATTTCCTGGGAAACTTTTTCCTCGTCGATCTTGAATTGAATGATTTATTCCATTTGTGTCTATGTTCATTATAGCAGAATCAACCGGTCCATGACTTATCGACAAGGTTTTTAAGTAAAAATTTTTACAAACTCTTTTCTTTTCTCCGTTTTTAACAAATGTATAAATTTTAGAGACATTTTTTGCAGGTCTACTAGAGTCCCTCGTTCGTTTTCTTCGGCATTCAGAAGTTGCAACGGTATTAATTATAAAGTCCTTTTGTCTGTCATAGGATAGACTGTGATACTGTTTACAGATATCTTGTCGACGATCTGCAGGAAATACTTCTGTACATTTGTAGCGGCAATTGTCACAATTTACATTTCTAGGGGACTTTGCAGGCATTTGTTTGCCTTTAGTATTAATATACGCTAAACACGATTTTTTTAATAACTTGTTTTTCTCACGTTTTGTTCCTTGAGGATTTTTTATTACCCATCTGCGTTTTTCTATAACTTGCGTAGGATTTACTAGTGGTTCATTTATTATTAAAGTCGTAGGGCTTGTATTACTAGAATTAGTAGCAAATTCTACCGGAACATCCCTAAGATCATTAATAATTTCTTGTGCGTTGTTATAATAATTTTTCGAACAACTCATTTTGCCACTAAAATAAGGTATTATTGCATTAGCTTATTATTTTTTAAAACTAAATATCCGAAAAACAAAATTATTGTAATACGTGTAGATAGTTACCAAAGATTAAGTCTAATAACATAGAACACAATTTTATTTTGATTTAAGTAATAATTGTTATGATAAACTGTTTAAACTTCAAACGTCACTCTCTTTTCCCTGTCTGTCACATCATATTTCTGTATCTTTTCTCTCGTTTTTTTTTCGTTAAGCATAATGCATGGCTATCTTAATTTAAGTCAAATCCTAGAGATAAAAATATTGACAAGAAAACATGACTAAGTCCACTTAGTCATTTTCTCCTGTACAGGTTTTTACAAAATGAACTTGGTCATTATGGAATTTGAAATTATAAGCATTTTTATTTTATTTTTGGACTTGTTCATTTTTTCCAGAAAAATAATATTGAATTTCTGGTGCATGAGCATTGAAACCTAAAAATCTAAAATGTTGGACTTGGTCACATTCTCTTGTATACCGACGATATGTTTCTGGTTATATTGTCTCTTTTCCAGGAATCTGTCGTTTTTTCTTCGGGTGGATTCCTATTCACACCTCGTAACACCTCCCCCCTTAAGTGGAAGGCTGCAGCCAAGGGTGGCGAAGTCCTTCAGCTTCTGTTGATTCCTCCCTCGGTTGGATTGGTTTTAACCTTTTCCAATATCTTTTCATGATGCAGAGACTGATAATTATTACTAAAACACAAAGCAAAATTATAGGTGTCCCTATTGAGGTCAATTTTTTAAAGGTGTTTATCGCCTGTATTTCTTCTTGTAATGATATCAGTTCCTCACGAGTTTCATTAAGTCGGGTAAATGTAATTTGTTCCAATTCAATATCTTGTTCTTTCCAGTGGGGCACATCTTCGGTTATCTTCTGCAATTCCACTGAATGAATTTGAAAGGATCGATCTTCTATCTTACTGGTATGGGCTTCCATCTTTTCTTCTTTTACGGTTACCATGCATCCTTGTGATATCTGAACTAGGAAGTTTCCTTTTATCATTCTATCCTCTTTTTTATTTTCGCAATTGATAATTATTCTTTCCTCCTTCGATACAGATAGTAACCATTCGTTATTTGTTAATTGTTGTATCATTTCGAATTCCTTTTCTATTTTATAGAAATATCCCGTACCATTGTATTGATGGTTCAACAGTCGATATTCGCATGGAGTGTGGATGTCAATGCTCTTACTACTCTTCTCACATAAGTAAAATTTTTGTTGGATTTCATTGCATTCTTCTATATCGCTAATATACCTATGATCGCTCTCAGCAAGGTATGGATTTTGGATAGATAGGATTTGAATTTTATTTCCTATAGGTTGAGGCAATGAAAAGAATTTATAATACTGGTAAGATTCTGAATCTATTAAGGGAATACCCAATATGAAATGAATTTTAATGCCTTTTACGTATGCTTTAACGTCGATTGTCCTTTCAATAGCGTAGATGTTTTCATCTTCTATCTTGAGAGGCAATTTTTGATGCTTTTTTATTCCTAAAAGTTCTTCTAAAAATATTTCTGTACTCAAAATAGCCGGGTGGTATGTCTTCAATTTGGCAAGTGTTTTTGCTACTACTAGTTTTCCTATTAATTCGTTAATAGTTTGCATACTTGTTATTAACATTAATAAGTTTGCATACAACGTATTTCTTTCGAATTTCGCGTTTTACCTTAGTAAATTAATAAATACAACACGGTATGGTACAGAATTTCGTCAGAATTTTTATTCTTCTGAAGCCCAACCACCAACACCAACCACCATTCTAATCGCAGACTACGATACGTTTTATACGTCAGTATAATACATGCAAGGTGTAAAACCTCTTATACGGTAAAATTCCCAACCCTGCAAGTAATAAACGAATTGTATCATACCGAACTGTCGGCGCGAATGTTTCGGTATAATCTATGCCTTGTTTTTAAGAAAATCCTTTTGCACACAATCTGTTCTGGAGAACGCTTTACCTTAAAAACCCATTTTGAACCCACCGTTTTCTTGTTCATCGGGAGTGGGCTCATCTCCCACGTTTTGTTTAATTCTACAGCATCTAGCTCTTCCTGTATGGCTTTCTTCCACATTGCAGCATCAGCTGTTTTGACTGCTTCATCATAACTTTGTGGAGTACCTTCTACTAAGTTTATCTCGAAGTCATCAAGGTACTTGGGTTTGTTTATTGCGTTTCGAGGTCTTAACCTTTGTTTTTTATCTTCATCTACTATATCTTCTAAAATATTTTCTTCTTCTGTTATTTCATTTACCTCGTCATCGAAAGTATCATCTTCTATGTTTAAGACAGTATGTTGTCTTGTCTTCGGAGCTGGTTGATCTTCATCAAATTACACATTTCTTGCCACTTTTATGTTTCTTGTAACTGGATCCAACAGCCTATAGTTCGTGGACTCATCTTGGTAACCCACTAATATTAACTTTATGCTTTTTGGTTCTAATTTCTTTCTTAAGTTGTCTGGAACGTGCATGTAGGCGGTACTTCCAACTACTTTCAAGTGATCTAACGAAGCTGTTCTTCCCGTCCATAGCTTGTATGGTGTTACGTTCGGGTTTCTTTTGTTTGTTGTACGGTTCAGAATGTATACAGCTGTATTCACAGCTTCTGCCCACAGGTAAGTCGGCAAATCTTTTGTATATATCATAGAACGAGCACTTTCCACTATTGTTCTATGTTCTCTCTCCGCTTTACCGTTTTGTTCATGACAATAAGGTGAACATGTTTCAAACTCTATTCCCTTTTTCTTTAAGAAATCTTGAAACTGCTCGTTTGTGTACTCTTTGCCATTGTCAGCACGAATAGTTTTGATTCTGTATTCAAACTTGTTTTCACAATATTGTACGAATGTTTTGAAATGATCAAATGTATCAGATTTATGTTTCATGAAGTACACTTTTCTAAAGCCAGTAGCGTCATCTTTAAATAGAACAAAGTACAGATGTCCACTTACGGAGGGAACGGACATGGGACCACACAAGTCCGTATGTATGAACTCTCCTGGTTTAGTGTTTCTCGGTTCACTTTTATCAAATGGTAATTTATGCTGTTTACCATACTGACAGCCATCACACACGTAAGCCTTCACGTCATCATGTGATATTCCATTTATGACACCCTCCTGTACCATTACTTTCATCGTTTTGAAATTAATATGGCCTAAACGTTCATGCCAAGTTTTTAAAGAAGTTGAGGAACTCACGTTCACTTCTGGAATTGTAGTTCGAATTGCTAATTTGTACAGATTTGTAACAATTCTGTTCGCAACAGCTTTTACCACACCGTTTTCAATTATTTTAGCTTCATTTCCTTCTTTGACTACTTCCATTCCTTTTTCGGTGACTGCTCCTTCTGGGAAGAGATCTTTCTTCAACTCCGGAACATACCATACATCGTTCATTACACATCTCCTCCAGGTAGATCCAATTAAGCACTCTATGTTCACTCTTCCAATACCTTTTACCATGAACTGTTCTCCATTACTAAGTTTTATACTTAAATTATCTTGTTCTTCGCAGGACGTAAACCAACTTTTATTGAAGGTCATGTGTGCGGATGCACCACTGTCTAAAATCCATGTGTCCTCGTCTTGCAATTTTAGGCCCTATCCTCACGACGCTACACGACATCAACACGACATGCAGACGGCGCTACACTACATCTACGCAACACGATATGTTGGCAACATGTTGACCGACGATATTTCAGCTCAGTCACCGCGCGACATTTGTAGCGTGACGTCGTGTTATAATTAATAAAAATGGCGGCAGAAAGGGACGTTAATTTAAAAATTGTACTAGAGGTTGAAAAACATCCATGTTTGTATAATTTTAAATTACCCGACTATACACGGAAAGATTTAATAGAAAAAGCGTGGAGTGAAGTGGGAAAGAAAACGAATATGTCAAGTAAGTACCTTTATTAAATTTCTTTAATATTATTATTATTCATTGCAAAATAAATTTTAAATAAATTATTAAATTTAGTTAATACATTATTTATAAGCAATAATTATTTTGCCAGGGCAGAGCAACACATGGTTTTATAAAGTAGTTTGATAAATATATTCGGAATGTAGATGGGGCTGATGCAGGTTGTAAAGTAATATGTTCTTCTCGTAATTGTGTGTTATTATCTTGTATTTTATTTGATATTCTTTTTGGTGCAATGGGCGATGGTGTGTATTCAATGCCGTCTTTTTTTCGAATAAAATTATGTAGAATGCAAACTGCCTTGATAATATTTACCACATTTTCCAATTTTCTGCAACGAATCGGTACGCCTAAAACTTGTAATTTTTGTGCCATCATACCGAAAACGCATTCAATAGTTTTCCTTGCACGACTTAATCTATAATTAAATATCCTTTTTTTTATTGTCCAGTGAAGTTGAAGGATATGGTCTCATCATGTACCGTTTTAATGGAAAGGCATTACCTCCAACAAAATAATATGGAAAGTTTTGTTTTGATTCATCATGAGGTAGTGGTGAACTTTGTGGTATATTGAGTCCATTTACTTCTAACCTGTGATACAACGCTGTTTCCCTAAATATTCCTCCGTCATGATTTCGGCCAGCAAATCCTGTTTCTATTACAGTAAATAAACCGTCGGCATCACAAGCCGCCATTAACACAACAGAGTGATACTGTTTGTAATTAAAATTTGTTGACCCAGAATTGGGAAGCTTTTCAATTCGGATATGCTTCCCATCTATTGCGCCTAAGCAATTTGGAATATTCCACAGCTCAAAAAAACGATCGGATATATTTTTCCATTGATCAGTATTTGGCACAATCATGTATTCATCTTTTAAAGATTGCCATATAATCAATGTTGTGTCGGTTACGATGCAGCTATTGTGCTGTGTCCTCTTTGAAAATATAATGAAAGAGATATAAAACTGCATCCTCTTGCTAGGTACCTGAAACAAAAATCGTTTCCAGCATAATAATATAAATAATATACTTTTATAGTAATTAATTTTTTTTTCAGTGTCCGACTGCAAAGAAAAATGGAAAAATGTATGGTCGGCATTTGTAAGGAGCTTAAAGCCGGTTCCAAGCGGTTCTTCTGCTAAAGCGAAAAAAACCATATTATTTACACGACCATTTGCAGTTTATTGTTGCATATGTGAAACCCACAAATCCTATTGAAAATGCAGGAAATATTGAGCATGAGCACCCAGAGGAACCAGCAAGTCCAGATCCAGCTGAGAAGACTGACGAAAAATTACAAGAAGTTGAAACCTTAACCGCACCAACAAGAAAGGAACATTGTCCAGAGCGCGCTACAAGTTCGACGTCAATTCGACGCAAGATAAAATTAAATGACCTCGATTCGTCATTTTTGAAGTACCTTCAAAATAAAAAGAAAAACAGTGCCACTAACGATGAAACAGCTAAACGGTATTTTTTGCTTTCTTTGATACCCGAAGTAAAGAATATGAACGACCAGCGGATGCGACAATTTAAAATGAAAGTCCTGCTTCTGATTGAAAATATTCTATCAGAAAGTTCTAAGTCAAGACCGGGATCATCTAATTCTCAAGATTATTACAGTGATTCTCCGACATTAACCACTACTTCAAACTCCAACACTGGATTTTCCCATCATTCCTTCCATAATATTTCCCCTCAGCTTGATAGTACCCACAGTTCCGAATATTTTTCACTGCGGCCTAAGCAGATCTCCACTTCGTCGTCACCATATCACCACGAGTCTCAACAGCTGCCAATAAGTGATATTGATACGATGACTATTTTGTAAGTTTCTTTACTATATGTACAAAAATAAATATTTGTTATATCTTACCTGAGTGTTATAAGAATCCTTTCCTCTGCACTGACACCTTATAATTGTGTCGGCCCTTTGAATTAAAGGACCTGTAATTCTTAAAAGCTCTTTAGAACATTCTTTGCTCATTCTATAGAAAGACTGAAACTTGTTATCATTTTGTCGCAACTCTTTAGCAACTACAAATAATCTACGGTTTCTGTTTTTCTTAATATATGGATGTACACAGTATTTCCTTCGTCGTCGGCGATTACGCAAATAGTAATAAATAAGTAAGACCTCTTCTTCTTCACTCGAAAGAGAGCTTTCTTTACTGGTAATATCAAAATCACCTGATTTTTCACATGAAAGGACACCTCTCTCCTTAGATATCTTGAATACGACTGATAATATTGTCTTATGCATGTCGCGTCGTGTGGACAAACCGTGTTGGATACAATTTCTTTTTGTCGTGTCGTCTGCATGTCGTATTGATGTCGTGTAGCGTCGTGAGGATAGGGCCTTAGATCTACAGCAGAATTGAAAGCTCCAAAGTTTTTCGAATTACTTGCAGTTTCCTGCTTTGATGCTTTGTTTTTGCAATGTTTGGCAAAATGACCTTTTTGCCTACAATTGTAACAAGTAATTTTCTTTTTATCAAACTTCTTTTCTGGTTTTTTATTGGAGGTTGCAGCTAAGGCGTGTTCGGCAGTTTCTGTTGCGGTAAGGCTGACTTCTTCATCAATCAACCTTTACGATAAATTTTGAAGAGTTTGTTTTGTTTCATCTACAGACAACCAAGCTTGTCTAAAAGTTCTGTACTTACTTGGTAGTGTACTTAGAATCTTTGTTATGACAGCTGTTTCACTTATGTTGTCTCCGCTTTCTCTGATTTCCCTGGTGATGTTCTCTATCTTTGATATATGTTGTATGATTGAGTCACTAGATTCCATTTTGTATTGGTGAAATCTTTCGTGCAGAATCATCTTATTTGTTTCGGACTTTAGCGCATAAATGTTGTCTAGTTTACTAAAAACTTCTTTTGCTGATTCGCAATTCTCAATCAACGTTATTTGTGCAAATTCCAACGCGGATGTTATGATGCACATTGCATGCGCGTCCTTTTTTGTCCATTCTGCCAGTTCCTTTTCTGTTGTAGGATTTCAGTTGTTCCTGTTGTAATTTCGTAGAGTCCTTTTGCCTTTAACGCACATTTTATTTGAAATTTCCACTGATGGTAATTTTTGCCGTTAAATTTGGTGATACCGACCAGATTCATGTTTTCCGCCATGGTAGTTTCCTGGTTACACAAACCGCAGAAGCCACACGAACTTCACGAAAAAAAAAAAAAACCGCCACGTAACAAATCGTACAGACAGCACGACGCACCACTGTCTCGGTTCGCCAACACCAAATATCCTGAACACTGCAATCCAGGAAGGGACAAACACTTCCTACACGTCACCACAGTTCACAGTCGGCACTTTACACGTCACAACTCGTTGAGCTCACAAAACAACACTATCACAACACTTTTCACTTCACTTCGCGTAGTCCTGGGCCCATAACCTATTGGGGTTATGAATTAAAAGCAACAATGGCTTTGAAGTAAAGTTTATTATAAGTTAGCAATTATGCTAATATAAGAAAAATAAGGAACTAGGCAACCAGTGTTGTCAGATCCCTGGCGCCATTATTTGAAATATTCCCACTTTTCGACCTAACTTCCCACCCAAATGGTTTCGCATAAATATTATACCAATGGTTAATAACTAAATAAAGCCCGCTATACTGAATTTTATGCTGCGCGCAACAAATAATATTGCAATTATATATTATACATATTTATTTACAATGTAACAGTAATATTTACATATGTATAACAATAATATATATTAAATGAGGCGTGTAGTAGCAAAACTCGCCTTATCCAGTTGAAGTAAATTTGAGAAAATCAAAATTTTAAGTTTTGAGCAATAAATTTTAGGAAAACAAATATAAAACCCAAATAAATATAGCTATTACGTTATGAAATGTTATCAACAATAGGTTCTCTATAATTGGTTTTTATCCAGTTTGAAAAAGAAACAGTAATTTTATTTGAATAAGGCAAGTTTTGCTGTGTTATGAATGAATAGCAAGTTTTGTTACATTAAA